TTTTATAATTATTTTATTATTTCTGTAATAAAATTTCAAAAGACAAATTTGTAATGAACTCAAAGAACAAACTCCAACAAACAGCTTTATGTCAGWGTTTGAGGTTTGTAAGCTGCCACATACCGATCTCGTGCCTCAGCATCCCCTCCAGCCAGTGCTGCCGAGCCCCGGCCAGATTGATGGTAAGAGTGGGACGGCAGTTCTCCACCACCATCACTGCCTGCGACAGCAGCTCATCAGACAGACGTACAACGACCTGAGGACACAACATTCATGAAKTTTAGCAGCTTTTCTTCTTTACCTGAGTCTGTTTTGTTTTTATGAGGRTAAGGATGAGTCATGTTTTGCTCCCACAAACCAAAAACACAACTTTTAGGTTAATTGGTAACTCTAAATTGTCTCTAGGTGTGAGTGAGAGAGTGAATGGTTGTTTGTCTCTATGTGTCCCTGTGATGCACATGTGACCTGTCCAGGGTGTACCCCGCCCCTCGTACTGTGACCCCTGTCAGGATGGATGACTGCTACTTTACCTGCTAAAAGTCGTCCACTGCAGTGTTGTTTAATAATAATCCAATAATTAGGCATTACTGGTCCAATAATCACAATAATGAGTTTATTTTGTTCCAGCATTTAGTGYCCAACATAGTGTTTATATACTGTATCATGATTTGCACGCCCTGTGTGTTTCAGTGCACTCACCTCTCCCACGCAGCCCTCTTTCTGCAAATATTTGCGTACAGCTGCCCAGACCTGACTTTTTGGCAGAACGCTGCCACCTGTCAGCTGCTCGAAGTTTTCATAAGACTCAAATTTTCTCATGACACACTCCATGATTCCAACTGCCTGCAGGGGAGCATAAAAGTAAATCAATCAATCAGTCAATCAATCAATCAATTTGCAGACCAAAGTGTAGTATGAAGAATTTATCTTTCTCAGTGAAATCTGACCTACAATCATCCTTCAGAACGGTCCAAGATTGATGACTTTAAAGTTAATTTTTGACAAATTAACCTTATCAAATTAACTTTATCAAATATCAATCATGCCTTGTGAACCAGGCATAACTAGGCAGAGAAAGAAAAAGAAACAGTAACATAAATTTCTTAAATTACAAAAAACTTCTGTGGCTTTAAGAGATTTTTTCCAGAACTTCAGTCCTGCTTTGAGTACGCCACTCTCATCCCCCTGAGTGACCACTTAGACAAACTTTTGATCTCAATGAATCCTCTGTTGACCCCAGAGTCCAAGCCACCCTCTGGTGCACAACTTTGTTCCAGGCAAGGTCCACACATTCCAGTGGTAGTTTGGGTTTGGTTATGTTTTTTTAGCTGATGCAAGTTGAAAACCATCGCTTCCTCACTTGCACTGATAATAAATAGCCTCCTTCCCTCCAGTAAGGGGTAGGGCTTAAGGTGAATTAAGCTGTTCTTACATCTCTCATACATAAAGTATGAGGAAAGTTTTACCAAGGTATTTTCTCATTACTTTTAATATCTTGACTGTGCGAAGTGAAAAGTGACACAATAAGTGAACGTTCAGACGAGTTCAAGTTGATTCATAAAAGACAATGCAATCATTTATTTACACAAATTGAACAGATCATAAGTTACACCTGATTGTGGTTATTCCTATACCAAGCTTCAAAGTTAAATGAGATAAAAACTTGCGTCCGAATTTTAATTCACATCAACTCAGATTACTTATATAGAACAGTAAAACGTCAGTTCTGATGTTACAACCAAACAATTCTACTGGCACTACCAGCTTAAGTTTTGGCAAATAAAGACAAAGAAAAGAGGAAAGTAATGCTAGTATTATTACTAATTTTACTTTATCAAGAGTGTGGCCAACCGGATCAGCACGTCCCTTCTGCACTCAGTTTCCACATGACACGTCACCCCGAACACACTCAGTTTTACCTGGTGAGGCTTCTTAAGCGACCCCTGGGTAGACACTGTCTCACCTCCGATCAGTCAGGGAACTTTTTAATTGGCCCGCTCACTGTTCCTCGGTGAGAAAGGTGTTATTTCAGGTAACTTTTCGTCTGTTTCAGTCCAAGCCAGAAAGATTCAAGYTGTACATCCTGTGCCTTCTTTCAAAACAAAATCTCCCCTCGGGAGTTAAAACACATTTTGATACTTGCAGCCTCGGGGTGGGACCTTCGGCTGGCGTGCCGAGTCCCGGCCGTTAGATCTTCCCTATTTGGCACATGGGCAAGACCTAACGAGCCAAACTGGCTTCTCCGGAGAGAAACTCAGCATTCCTTCCTAGCTTGGCATCCAGAAAGAAGTGTGTCTCTCAAAGACGTCCGGGTTAGTAATAGAAACGGATGAACTTTGGTTCCGCCCTCAGGCGTTACGATGAGTCAGAGAAAAGGAAGAAAGATAAAGACTTGCCAGCCAGGCGCCAGTCAAGGGTAAATTCTGTGGTTGTTCACAACAGAATATGATAACATTTCTTTAGCTTTTCTCCAGATAGACTCTAAGAGAAATCRCTGCAAAACATTTATGATGGTTAATTAACATTTCTGTTTAAGTAATCAGTCTGAACCATTCTGTTAGTCCAGATGAACGATTTTCAAGAAAAACCCACAATTATATTACTGTGTTCCCAGTATTAACAGTGATTTATATAAAAACACAATAAAAACATGGTAATGATTTTCTCTGTGATTTTTTATACCATTAATTAACCTTTTAGACATGATAAAAGAGTAGAAGTGATTCCACTTTCTTGTGACAGTCATTATCATGATTTAACAAAAGCATAAACATTCTTAGTTAAACAACAAATGAATCATGAACAGAAGAGATTGTTCTGTCCATTATCTGATGAAGAGAACTGAGAAATTCTCCTAGGCTGAAATGACCTGCCATGGCCTAAATAGAGTTCAGTTTGTGACAGAGTTCCTGTCTTCTCGTCAGGCCTGTGCGAGGCCTGCTTCGAAGCAGTAAATCTTGTTTCTTCACTCAAGGTGACCCGTACACTCAATATTAACATCCGATATTGATTTCCCTCTATTAACTTTGTGTTTGTGTTGGGAGGGGAGATGGCTGGTCAAGTGGTATTTGTTTGATCATTATAGTGTTAGTGAATAAACGTCAGGAATAACTGAAGTGGAGAGCCATGTCAGTTGTCTGGTTGTTTTTTTACGGTATCGAAAAAAGACCCAAGTGTGTTTGTGCGTATATGTATATAAATAATTTGGGTGTTTGTGAAATATTGGTGAATATCAGTTATCAGCCATAACATAAATAATTATTTTTGGTATGGATATCGACTGAAATTTTCATTTTGGTGCATCCATAGTTCATACAAAGCAAAATGTTTACAAAAATAGTTAAGTTTATCTAAATTCCTACACAGATTAAACTCTGAATAAAATCTCATGTCACACGACATAATTTAGGCTTTAAATAAGTGAAATTTATTTTTGAATATTTAATTGTTGATCTCAAATTGTTAAACTATCAATTCTAAGTAATTACTTAACAATCATTTCCTAAAAATACTATTCTCCAAATTTGCTTTAGTTTTTTTTGTGTTGTCTTAATTTTTAATATTGTTGTTTTTTTATTTTTTAATTTGGATGATTTTGTAAAGGAAAAAATAAAAAGACAAATTTAACATCTTTCTCATTTTATAAACATTTATTGATTGTGGTAGGAGTTCCCTGGAATTCAACATATTCGGGCTGCAGTGTTTAGTTCTGGTTATAAAAAGAGCAAATAAATTACCCACTCTCTTATTGGTCGGTGAACCAACACGGTGCCAATATTTCTAGCAAGAGCTTTCAAGTGTAATAAAGGGAGGAGCAAGTGTCACCCCATGAATCTATGGAGGACCGAAACTGACATAATTAGAAATGAAGGCAGAAATATATAAATGGACAAACAAATATATAAATACACTTAAAATACACAAAATAAATTAAAAAAGGAGAACTTTACCTCATGTTTTAGAATTTAATTGACCTTCATATGTATTTTTCCAGCTTAGTTCCAATAAATTATATATTTTACCACATAATTTTAATGTTTTAAAAATGTATATTTTTTGTTTTTCATTTACATGCACATCTGTCTCAAATGAATATATGAATACACACACACACACACACACACACACACACACACACATTATATATAATAATATATAATATATATAATATATAATATATAGCATATATAGCATAATATATAGCAGCTAAACTATTTGGATATAAAGTTAACTTTTGAATTTGTTTGGAGTAAGTTATTTGAACTTGACCAGATAACCAAGTAATTCATTAACACTGCAGGTGAAAAAGAGAGGTTTATCAACTTGCACCAGATAAAAGGTTTATAACCAGAGTTGATACTGCCTTATCAGGAACCAACGTGGGAAGGTTTAATGCACATGATTGGACCCTAAAGTGAACTTAGTGTCAGTTGAGATCAACAGGTCACTCAGGAGAATGAGGGTGGTGGAGTAGAAGCATGTCTGAAATTTTTCAGATGGAACCAGGTCCTCTGTAAATTAGGTAATTCCCCAAAAGATTAACTTTTTCTCAGCTTAGATATCCTTTGCCTTTGCTGTCTTTGTCTATATTTTAACTGTATTTCTGTACTTGGCTCTGTATGAAAACACTAACAAAACATGTTCTTTTTTTAAATTGGTGAATGCAATGATCTTCTTTAAATTTCTGATATCCAAATACAAATATATTCTGTGAATTTGTTGCAAACACTAAACACCCCTCACCTCACACATAAAAGAAAAAAAACCAGACAGCATAGCATACAAGATAGCTGAAAATACTGAAAAATAATGTCATAAGATGATGACCACCATGATGATAAATGAACCTGAAGGTGATATGATTTGAAAAATGTGGTTAGGTTAAAATAATATTTATCAAAGTTAGTCTTTAATTTTAAATAGTTGTGTTGTATTTGTTGTTCTTTTCTTTCTGAAGGTAAACTCAAGTTACTGAAAATCTGTGAAGGTAAATATGTTGAAAAAGTTGTGAACTTGTGGCTTTGATTTCAGTATCTGTAGTAAAACATGCACCCCTTGGTTTTAATCAATTTCACTTGCAAATGTTTTTCCACGAATATATYCTAAAGTTACTAATGCATAGAAATTACATTTACATAAACAAAATATGACAGTGCAGACTTCTGATTCATCATTTATTTTATTTGTGTGTGTGTGTATGTCTAAGTACAACTAAAAGTCAAAGTTTACAACTTCTCAAATCTTACGCTGTGTACTCAGCTCTCCTGCAATGTGACCTCTGTGCTGCACATGTACTCCTCCCTTCTTGTGTGTGAGTTGCTTGTAGAAATGGGTGTTTATCTGTCAGCCAATCACAGCAAGCCGTGAGTTTCCTGAGTCCCAACAACCAATGGCTGCACAGACGGTTAAATGTGACAGCTGCTGCTGCCTCTTTGGAAAAATATGCTGGTGAAGATTCATTCAGGTCTTGCTCAATCCAAAAAAGGGTTAAGCACACAAAAAAACCAACTGTAGTCTTGTAAAGTTTTCAGTGCTGGTTTCCCAAATTATATTTCTGCTTCAGGTGATTCATCGAGCAAAAGCTCAGAACCATCTCCATCTTCTTCCACTTATCTGTAGTCAGGTCACGGAGGCAACAGGTCCAGATCTGAAACCCAGACATCCCTCTCTCTCCACAGCGACACTTTCCAGCTCGTCCTGGGGGACCCCGATGCGTTCCCAGGCCAGAGAGGATACATAAGGATATGAAGGATTGCCGTTCTTTCAGCACTCAGACTTTTGCCTTGAGCAAGGTGGACTCTGTCTGCAAGCAGTTCTGCTGAGGGTCGCTGGTTGTGGTTCCTGGACTTTGCTGGCCAGATGGAATTGATCTTGGAGAAGCTGAGAGCTCGGCGGAATTGCCCACACTATTTGTGTGATTGGATTCGCCACCTTGAGATGTACCAGCGGACATTAAGGCAGATTAAGGCAGACTCAAGAAGCTTATTTACCTCAAGTTCTGTCTCAAAACATGGCAATCCCCTATTTTACCCAAATCAAATGTTTTTGATTTAATATTTCCAAATATGTAAAGCATATAAATAAATGTTTAACTATTATTAGATAAAATATCAACCGTTAAAATAATTTCTTTGTAAATCCACACAAATTAAAATCTGTATTCGTGTGTACCTACTGTATTAGAGAACCACTGGACAGATTTTAATGAAACTGTCACAAAATAAGAAGGTTACAGCAACCACTTTTACAGAAACTGAGTTAAATTTTGGTGTGGTAGTAGCTGAGAGTGACTCAGAACACATACTATTAACACTGCACATCTTTGTTTAAAACTGGCATTATCTATTTGAGTCAACAGTGTCTTAATACAATGAGATTATCATACAGTAATCACTGGAGCTACATTTAGAGTCAACCCACTTCATGATGGTTGCCATAGCTAAATCTTAGCCAACACAAACATGCCTGTAACTTTTTCAAATTTACAGATGCTGGTGTGGTAGTACTAATGAACTCTAACACATCACAATAACACAATATTGTTTGAGACTGTGCCTAATGTTATTTTGAAGTTAGACCAAAATGACACTCCCATATTTTACCATTATAAGATGATCTCAGTTTTAAACTCTGACGTGAGGCAGCAGGCAATACACATTGTCTCAAGGAAGGCTAGGCTTTTAATTTGTTACATTATTTTGGGAAAATAAAAACTTTAGTTTTGTGCTTATGATGTGAACTTTGAGACTGATTTGTAAGGCTCTGTATTGGCAAGAATTTGGCAATACGATACATATCATGACAGAGGAGTCACGATACGATATATCCCGATATATCGCGATATATCTCAATATATTTCAATACTGTAAACAAGGCGATATATTGCGATTTTTTGGGTCCAAAAATTCTATTAAATAAAAACCTCTTACTGGAAAAAAAAAAAGAAAAAACAAAATTCATTGGGCCTCATGCAAGAACCGTTCGTACGCACAGATTTGTTCTTAAGTTGTGCGTACGAGTGATTTAGGAGAATTTGTGGCATTCACCAATG